ACCCTGGATATCTGCGGTTCGCATTCGCAAACCGTGCCTTGATTTCTCGTTCCTCCTGCTCCGTGAAGGCTTCGCTAGTGCGACGTCTTTGAACAAGACTAGCAAATAGTCACGTCTGTAGCGGCGGTAGAGTAGGATTTACTAGCGGTGTTACATAGGTATCGTCATATCCGTCATCATATACCCCTGCAGCGGTATCGACAGACAACACGCGGGGTTGATCGCGTGTCCGAGGTCGGCGCATGGCAGTAAAACCAGACGTATAGATGCAAACGATGGGAAAATGGCAAACTGCCGCATGAACCCACTGCATGGCGTGATTCTCATCACAATGATGTACATGAAGTGGGATGTTCTGATGCCTATTGCAGCGATCTGCACGCCCGTTGCGCGCGTGATGTTCCGGCTTGCCTTATTTGCAAGTCGAACGGGCTGCTATTGGCGTGGTTGGGTTAAGCTTCACGCCGGCACACTGCAGAGGGCGGAAGAGGGTCATGGATGTGCAGGCGGAAGGCTTGCGCGCTATGCTCGCCTCGAGGGAACACAGATAGAGAAAAATGCTCCGAACAATTTGGGATGCTGACAGTGCACCGCTTGACCCGGTATAGCAATGCTCAGTAAGGTGTGGCGTAACACGTCGCATGAGCATTGCTGCGCAGCCGCTGTAAAGATTCATGCATCGAAGGGGCAGGCACGCTCTATCCGCGTACCTAGGAAGCAGACAATGGGTGACGGCGGCGTGAGTGATAGCGTCGGCGGGGTTTGCCCGCTGCAGAGACTTCAGGCATGCGGTGAACAGACAAAGCGCGGGTTCATTCGCCCTGGAGCTTGCTATGGCTCAGGGGGGTCCTGGTGCACGCAAATGAGCAGGTAAGCTAAAGAAGCCGGCGCAGGCTAATTGGCTGCCTTGGAAGACGTGTTTGTCTGGCGATGCAGCTGTGCGATATGGCAGAGGCAGCAGACGGAGGGACTATGTAGAGGAGGGCGAGACGAGGTGCCAGACAGGCAAGATCACTGCCGGAGAGGGACAGGCGATACTTGGCTTCCCCGGTAGAGTGAAATGACGGCCCTGTTGTCGTGGTCAAGATCGGCATCATGAACTGGAATCGGACACAGCTCGGCTGATCTGCGTGGCAGCAGCATCAAGATATGCTGCCCGCGTGGTTGTGATGAGGGCGGTACAAGCTGGACACATGGAATTTTGCCGCGGATAGGCAGCGTGTCGAGGGCGTCGTGGTTGCATGTGCAGGGCGGTCGTGGTGAACCACGGGTCGGCAGCGCTGGAGACGTGGAACCTCGGAGTCGACAGGCAAATCAGCCGTCAGGTGCATCGTGGCTTGTCAGTGCTCTGGTCACAGCGTGGCCCACTCGCGCAGAGGCTTGGGCGGTCGGGTTTTCTTGGTTGACTTTGCATTTGACGTTTAGCACTTGCAAGTCTTGGCACGAGCCCATCCGGCGGAAGGCACGACTGAGCAGGCGCAGGGCACCTTCCTCGCTCCCTACACGTCTTGCCCAGCACACGACACCCCCCCAGACCCCCCCACCGAGCAGCGGCTCAACATCTTCCAGTCCTGGCTCGTCCTGTGCAGCAGTCGAGTCGCGCCAGGGAGAGGTTTGCCCGCTCGCACCCGCACCGCCGTCTATGGTAGCGAAGTCGAAGAGGAACGCGGCGCACGACAAGCGACACGAGAATGGCCTTGCGGCCCCCGGCAAGAAAATCACAAAGCAGAAGAGCATCCCGCAGCTCAATGGCCACGCCAACGGGAAGCCCAGCGAGCCGTCGCCGCCGCTGCCCAGCCATGTAGACACGACCGAGATGACGCAGCACGCCAGCGCCCACGATCCAGCTCCGGGGTCGAGCGCCCACGCCAACACCATGGCCGCTGCTGCGTCGGCGGGATCAGGGCACCGCACGCGCGCTGGCTCGGATGCCTCGCTCGACAACACCCCCGAGGCCTGCCGCTCGTACGACAATGGCAGCGCCGGCGGGCCCTTTGATCCCATGCCCTCGACTCTCCGCCGCGCCGACACCAATGCCTCCAAGTCGGCGTCTATCTCCATGGCCAGCATGCTCGCGGTGCCTGCCACCATTCTCACGTCCTGTCCGCTGCGGGACGTCCTCGCCATCCTCATCATCCTGCTCCAGCTGCCCCCCACCGTCCTCACCGTCGTCCAGTTCCTGTTCGCAACGCTTACTTTTGTCCCGCCCCAGGCCGGCACGCCCCTCTCCGCCCTCTCCGCCTTCCCCTCCTTCACCGACATCTTCCAGGGCTCCGGCGGCACGCCCTCGCTCTTCACCACAATCATCGCCGACACCGTCATCCTGCTCGTATGGCTGCTGCTGTGGGTGCCTGCCCAGAACTTCTTCCTCGACCTCGCACAGGCCGTCATAGCCATAGCGCTCGGCGGTGCCGCAGCCGGCAAGAAGGGCACCACCAACAGCATTGTCATATGCTTCGTCATCATTCTTTCGAGCCACGTCTTCAGATTCAGGCCTCTCCGGCAACACATCGTCCACTTCCTGTGGACGGGGCTCGCCCGGGGAGGCCTTGAATTCTTGACGAGCCCCCCGAGTACGCCGACTTATTTGGAAAGCTTCTCGACCCCCCATGGATGGCCCCGTAGCCTCCTGGGTATTCATATTTTGGCCCAAGGTGTCGTTCGTATCATCCGACGCTCTCTCTCTCGACGAGAACAATCAACCTTACCCACCGGCAAGAAGACAGATCCAGAGTCTGGCACGCTGCAACGCTCCAACTCCACGAACCTCGATCCCACTGCCGACGTGCCCAACTCCTCGAGCACCGATGGCCGCCCCCCGGGGCCGTCGCCTGCAGCACACGCAATCAAGGATAAAGCGAGTAGTGGGAGGAGGAAGAGGAAGCAAGCTACTCATGTTCGTAGTCAGCAGCCATTCTGGGCTGCACTTGCCAGTACAAAAGTTACAGTTTTAAAAGAGATGGAGAGTAGCCGGGCGGCCAGCGATGCCGACGAGGCTAACGCAAAAGACGCAAATCACATTGGAAACGCTGTTTGGAGATCGGAGGACGATCGTGTTTGGATTTCAGAAGTCGGCTTTTCCGACATTTCATTTCGTGTTAGTTTATCTGGTGGAGCTGGCCTTCAAGAGCAGGACGATGAAGACTCCAGCGTTGGGTCTGGGATAGACAAGTCGAAGCCCTTCTACATCCGCGTCAATGGCGCGGACTGGAGCTCAACCCGCATCCGACAGAGCGAGCCGATCGGATTCCAGGGACAAGAGGGAACGGGCTACTGGGTAGGAGAAATATTTGGTCTGACAGCTCTCTCGAACTATTATTGCGAGTTTGTTCGGACCAACGACAACCAAGTCTTCTACTCAGCGAGTCTTATTACCTCGGCCAGCCCGGTAACCGAACTTGGTAAGTAGAACATCTTGTGTAGCCTTACCTTGCTAATGCGTGACAGCTTCGGCTTCTATTGCCTCCCCGCCAGCCCATCAGACCCTACGACCTTCTTCGCCAACAACCACATTGAAGAACTCCATTGCCGCAGCCGACCAGCAACTGCAGGAACAGCGCAATCGGTTGAAGCGAAACAAGAAAGACCACAAGACAGCCATTACCAACATCAAGAAAGAGGTGGACACGCTCGGCAACCGCCTTGCCAACGCCGGAGGTAGTGATGAGCGCCAACGCCAGCGCGTCCTTCAATTCACGCAGAACATCCGCCAAGCCGACGATGCTGCCGCCGAGTTTGCCCTCCAAGCAGAAAATCTGGGAAGCATTCCCGAAGATGAGGCGAAGGAGGCTGCAGCCAAGAAGGCAGAGTGGAAGAAGGAGCGTGACAACAAGAATGCTGTTGCTTGTGAATTCGACAAGACCAAGGAGGAGATCGAGCGACAAGTGCAAAGTGTGGAGTCCGATATTTCTACTGCCTTCCAGAAGAGGGAGCGCCTTCAGCAGCGTCAAACCAGGCTCAACGAGCAGCACGACCGTCTCGTTACCGCCAATGCTGAAGGTTTCACCGCCAAGCAACGAAGGGAGCAAGAACGCGCAGCATTACGAGCACAGCGCGCTGAAGTCGAGCATCAGTATCGTAGCAACATCAATGGCTACGAAAGGCGCACTGAGGAGCAGAACATGTCAACCAGCCAAATTCTGCAGACTGTTCAGCAGTATGAAGAGCTCATCCTCCAGCAAGCGCACCAGCACATGTCTGTTCCTACCACACCAGAAGGCAATCTCCCAGGCACGAACATGTCTCCTCACGGCAATGGATTCTCCAGCTTCACGTTCCCGTCAATGCACTCGCACATGAACGGCACTCCTGGTTCCATGCGTGGAGGTCGCGGTCGTTCCTCGTCGATGCTCTCTAACGTATCTGGATTCACCGACGCTTTCGACGAGCCCGCGTCTTCAGGCACTTATGTCCTCGGTAACCCCTTCAGTACTCCAGGTCCGATCAATGGCCGCAATCGCAGTCACGGTAGTGGCAGCCTCAGCTCGGGAACCTCCAGTCAGAGTTCGAGCCAACGAGATCCATTGAGCCCAGTCCAGAGTATTAAGCCGATGATGGTGCGGAGTCCTACTAGTGGGAGTGGTAACAGTCTGATGAGTCCGATTGGCACTGGCAGATGAAACCGTACACGATTTGATCTTTACGTATCTTTAGGTAGTGTTCCAATGTGATATTCGCGTCCTTTTCGTGTTCTCAATACAGTTCTCGCTTTGCTCCAATTGAAGTGACCTGCGTGTGAATGAACAACTCCATGACATGATGCTCACGGATCGTAAGGAAATATAAATTCCTTTGATACCTATGTAGAGACACAGGTGTGTGTACTAAGACGTGAAAAGGCATATGATGACTACATGGGAGGATTCTGGTTTGATTCGCTTGATGGACAGTACACGAAGACTATCACGCTGCCTTATGCTAATGTACAAAACGCCTCCAAACATACTGTAGTCCCTAACCCTCCTCAACTCAACCCTCGAGTGCGTTGACGCCTTGAATGTCTACACCTCTTCGATGATTTTCGACAACCTTGGACTCCAGCCAGTCTGCTTCGGGTCTTCGCTGGCATCGTCCATTCTACCGCCGCCACCTTCAGCGCCACGCCTGACGTCCATATTGTCCCCTCCGTCACCCCCATGCTCATCCTCGACTTCCTCTTCACCCTCCTGCCCTCCTTCGCTAACACCCGCAACGTTGGGAATCCTCCCATGTTTCATCACCCAATTACCCGTTTGCATGCAGACACCTATTCCCGACCATGCCATCAGTCAACCATACCTTCGATGACCTTGCCCTAACTATAGAAATCCAAAATCGAGACGCGAAGACAAAATAGCAGAAAGGAAAGAAGTGACATGAACTTACTGATAACTCCACTCATCCCCTTCCTCAAGTCTTCCAACAGACAATTCGCCCCAGTGATGATGTCAGGCTGATCCTCCACATGGCTGATCAGTGTCCATGATGTGAATGGCGAATTTGAAGCGCCTGTGTAGAGAATCAATGCCACACCGTAGGTTGACATTATTTCCTCTTCATCATCGTTGTTGCTCCTGGTGCTGGCAGTGTTGAAGGTGCTTCTGCTATCGTTGCTACTGCCATCACTGTTGGTGGTCATGCTGTAGGTGACTACATCATAGACTTTTGATGCGTCTTCTGATCTTGTGCCATAAAGAGGCGTTGCTAGACTGATGATTTGTGTCTTGATGGCAGTAAACAGTTGCTGCTCGAGCAGTTGTGCGGCGTGTGTAGACATTGCCTTGTCTGTTGAAATGTGTGTTGGATTGAGTAGAGGAGTTTGAGGTTGTCTCTGTTGGTTTGGTGTTGAAGTCGAAGTCGAAGTCGAAGTCGTAGTGGTGAGCGTTGGCAAAGGCGAGTGACCAAAGTGGAGGTGAATGTCGGAGATGGACATTATCGCGGTACCAACGTGTGTATCGTAAGTCACCTCGAAAACAGAAGAAATCCATGATAGAGCTCTTGTCTTTGCTCTCGTTTGCTCATTCATCTACGGCCAAACAAGTACGATGCATCTACAAACCATCGTTTGACCAAGTCCCCAACCTTCCACCGTCACTCAGTCTCAAGCCTCTCACTTATCCACACAGATTGCTCCGCTGCCCAGCATTCCAGCGCCGCATCGCCTCTTTGATCTGATCATCAGTCCAGGGCCCGTACCTCTTGTGGTCCCCATGTGGCTGATATCCCGCCTGATGACTCTCATCCACCCTACTTGCTGCACCCTCCAAAGCCATGGTCCACCAAAAGCCCCCTTCTGCCATCCTACTACCATACAGCCTCCATAGCCCAGGCATATGCACCACATCTTGCACACAGTAATCCTTGATTGCTTGGCTCAGCGGCCTCTCTTCAAAGACCGCATACCTGCCACCTCGTTCCGGAGCGAAGAGCCTGACACCAGCCTCTTTGATGGCGCTGCAGACTTGCCTCTGCATCGGCCTTATGTTGAGGCGTGAGGCATTGTAGTCGATGGCTTTGCCCAAGCCCAGGAGGTGTTCACGGGAACCGCGTGTAGTGGTTGCTAGCTCCATGAGTTGGATGTCGTGGATGCAGGAGAGGGAGATGGCGTAGTGGGAGAATAGCGCGTCGGAGTCGTTGCGTACATCGAAGAAGACTTTGGGAATTGCTGGTGATTCCAAGATAGACTTCAGGGTTGTGGAAGGCTTTCCGGCGTCTTCAGTGAGGTTTGTTGTGCTGGGCGTAGTATCAAGAGGCGCAGTCACGCTTGCTGTTGCTGCGATGGCAGGTGTTGAGAATGCGCGAGCGCCTAGAGTATGGATGTCGATGAGATACACAGTCTCCTTAGGTAGTACATACATGGTCAGTAGAGCGATTGAACCATTTCTGCTGAGCTTCGCGCCTTCCAGATCAATGTACAGACTTGGAGGAGATACTGGTAGATCGTTGAGCGTTGCTAGCACGGCAGAGAGCTCTTCCGGAGTTGATATGAATACGACTGGAGGCATGATTGTGATTTGTTGGTACTGTACTGTATGTGGTTGTTATGATATTCAAGGAATGCTGTACATTTGTATCAGACAGAGAGTGATTGTTTGATGATTCTGGACACGGCGATACCGAAGAAGAAGAGACGAGTAGGTGCGGGCCATGAAAGACTTATAAAGAAGGCAGCAGATCATGCTTTCCGATCGGCAGGCTGCACCTAGTATTGCCTGAGTGTCCCTTCTGTAATGTGGTTCGACAAGATATACCGTCGTGTAAGCGGTGCTAGCCTCTGCAGAAACCGGTGAAGTTCCTGCATATCTCAACGAAACAAGGTGCCACGAAACCCAATAACTACTGACGCGGAAGTCCCATGTTTATCGATTCAGCCTTGGTCCACTTTCCATTGGATCATGGCGGTCGATATGCAAGTGACAGAAGCCCATTATGGAAAAGATCCTCTGACGCGTTCTTACCAGGGAAGGCCAACTCATGTGGTGTTAGAACCTATCGTGTCATTTGAATGCATTAAATGTCCTGAAGTGGTGGCGCTTGGGCAATCTGGAGGAGGGGAAGCGAGGAATGCAGACAAGCCAATGAGATCCAGACCAATAGTGTAACACAGTCGCGAATGGGGGTAGAACACCAGGCGAAGGGATAATGCACTCGCTACTGGCTCTAGATATATGCGCGAAATTTATATGTAACGTCCCTGGGGATCAAACTTGTCCATGAGCTCCATGGACTTTTCGTACATGGTGAAGACGATGCCACCACTGAGTATCAGCCGACCCAACCTTGGAAGTGCTCCTGACCAAAAGGTGAAGAGCCCCTCGTCCCTGAAGATCTTGGCTACACAGTCGAAGCTGTTCTTGTAAGAGCTGCGTGCTTCTATCGACTGCATGCGTGTCTTGACTGTGTCGATAGGCATCGTAGTGTAGACTGTTATTATGCCTGCGAGTCCTCCGAGTCCGAATGTGCTGAAGGCACCGAGCTTCTCTCCTGGGGTGACGTACGACTGCGCTAGCTGCTTGAGCGAGGTGTAACTGGAGAAGCGAACGGCCGAGTTGGCTGCTTGACGTGCAGTCGTTGGGAGGAAGCCTTGGAAGAAGCCGCGAATGCCTTTTTCTTGTGCGATTATTCTTGATCCGTGCAGAAAGCCTCGCATGCGTGGGTTTGCCGCCTTGCGGTCGTCAATACTAGGCGGATGAGTCAGTGAAGGTACATGAATGCGACCGAGGCTGCTTACAGTTGGGTTTTGATACTCTCAAACGGAGTCACAGCTAATAGCGATTCTGTAGCTCCTGCACCGAAACCGGCTATGACTGTCGCTGGACCAGAGACTTTGCCCTCAGCGTCTGCCAGCATGTTCCTGTACATGTCGAATGCGACAAACCCTGCGTGAAACGTCAGACAGTCGCCTTCCCATTATTTCCATGACGTACTTATGCCCGCCTTCAGAGAGTTGCCGATGATCAAGGTTGTGCATCCGGCGTACCACTGCTTGCCGAACGGCGGCCATGGCAGCTTCTTTCCGTCAGGTAATCTCCGGTTGAGTTGGGATCGTGTCTTTGCGACTATGTTTGGGTCAGGTTCGACTTGGTCATGTAAGCGGATACGATGCGATGCGTACACTCAGCGGGGTATGTGATTGCTGGTCCAGGGTCAGTCATGAATCAGATTACGATCCGGGCGCATGCTTTACAAATCTCTACGGCACCTGCAGTTGCGCCTGCCAGGATTGAGCGCACTGCGCTTGGCTTCTTCTTCTCGGTAGTTGCAGTCGCCATGACGTTTTAAGTCGAGCAGCCTCCGGTGGTGATAGGAGTAGGTTTGTACGCGCAGCAATTACGCGGGAAAGTTTTGGCGTGTCTACGTCGCGTGCGGTAATGGGAATTCGGGGCAGTGACGTAGTATTGGTCTTGCACTCGAAACCAATCTAGATCCTTGAAAAACAACAGGAACCACAGCTGGAGGGAACTCGACGCGCCAATGTGTACTAGATTTCCCCAGGTTCACAAAATACTGAATCCATCAAGACGGCCGAGGACGGAGGTGAGCAACGGGCCCGCATTTCGGCGCCAAGCATCCCGCTTGACATCAGCCCGCCTGCGCTTGGGCCATCGAAAAGTTACGCTTTCGAGAGCCATCTATCGCATCGCCATCTTGAAGTTGCATTCCAGTCACACGGTACTGTCAAGACTCACACCTCTTTAGTCCACCATGATGTCCCTACGCAACCTCGCCCGCAGCGCCCCGCGGTCTGCTGCTCGTTTCTCCACCAAAGCTGTCCGCCCGCAGTCGTCGCTGCGACAGACGTCAGCTTTCCAGCCAGCATGGGCTGCCCCAATCCCCCGCCTCACAGCTTCTTTCCACATGTCAGCGGCGCGGAGGCAAGACAGCGGTAGTACGTATAGGATACATTGCAGTGAGAGAACACTGCTAACGCGATCTAGTCAATGAAGAGCTCGTCGCAAAGATCCAGAGCGAGATCTCCATGGAGGAGGGCATGAAGGAGGACGAGGATCTCTCCGCCAACATCAAGGAGTACCTTGAGAATAGCCCTTTCGAGGTGCGACCCTACAACACCATTGCTACTGGCCGAATGCTTACAGCCATTAGATTGAGGACAAGGCAGGCAACCAGGAAGTCGTCCTTACCCGCACATACAACGACGAGAAGATCCGAATCACCTTCACCACCGCCGACCTCAACAACAACCAGCCCAGCGATGAGCTTACTGAGGACAATGCCATGTACGACGATGCCGACATGGATGTGCAGTCTGGCGGCGCCAACACCAAGGGTGCCATCAACCAAGGCACCACACAAGACGGAAACATTCGCGTAGCTCCCGAGGACCGTGTTGCTCCCGCTGATCGCGAGGAACTTGAGGACGACTACGAGGACGATGGCCAACAGCAGGGCTTCCCCGCTCACGCTAGCATTCGCATCGAGCGTCCCGGCAAGGGTGCTCTCGCTATCGAGGCCACCGCCCAGGACGGCGACTTCCTCATCGAGGACCTCTACTACTTCCCTACCGCCGATCTGGCTGACCCTGCCACTGCCGAGAAGGACTGGTCAAGACGTGCTCTCTACACTGTATGTGCAAATGTTGCATTGAGATCGTAACGAGTCTAACTTTCAGCAGGGCCCTCCTTTCAACAACCTAGACGAGGACCTCCAGATTCTCCTTGAGAAGTACCTTGAGGAGCGTGGCATCAACACCCGTCTTGCCCTATTCATCCCCGACTACATTGACCACAAGGAGCAGAAGGAGTACATTCAGTGGCTCAACAGTGAGTTGCGCTTACATTTCTCAGTTCCAGTGTCAGGAGCTAACAGACCACCAGACATCAAGAACTTCGTTGCCTAAGCTCAAACCGAATCGAACAGCATCGCCAACGTCTGAAACCCGACTCAGACAATACAACACGACGCTTTGCCGGTGCTTTCACGAAGTAATAAAAGCCTCTCATGTATAAACATATAACGCATCTCAATAGTTGAGCTACTCGGGGCGTTAGCGGAAGTGTAAAATAGTTGGTGAGATTGTCCCTCATACATCGTCCTCTGACACGTGCAACACTATCTTGCAAGCAATCATCAGATCGCGAAAGGGACGATCGGAGTACTAGGCAGCTCGAGGCACCTCATATGGGTTGTCTCGGTCCTTAATCTACGAGAACCACGACTTAGGTATCATCGAATGCCAAACAAACGCATATAGCGCTTTTCCACTCATCACTGTCCGAGTCATCCCCTCTGTCCGATGGCTTATCGTGTCGTTTGATCGTCCTGTCTCATTCCAAAGGTCCGTGTCGAGACAAAGACCCGGTTACGGCGCGGCGTTTGCTGGGCCAACAACAAAGCCACCATTCGTCATCCGCGCATGCACACAAGGTGATTGTTCACTCAATGAAGTTCCGTAAAGAAGTTTGTTCGTTGTCACTGCCGTGGGTGCAGTCAAGGATACATTTCGAAACAACCTTTCGTGACTCTGAATGACAGTCTGCCTGTGATGACTGTATCCTCCTCTTCAAAGCTCGAGGCTACCACTGTCCATACCAAATCTCCGCCGCATTCCTCCAACTTTAATCAGAGTGTCGATCGATACTAGCTTGCGCGTTTGACGGACCACCATCGATAATCTTGCAAGGGAGTAGGGTCTTGCACGACTGACTCACAAGCCATGACGCGCCATACCAGCCCACGCAGTGTTGGTAACGACCCCAGTCGCATTCCATTTCCAAACCTCCCACCGCCATACACATTCAGAGGCAGTCGGCCTACACAACGAGGCAACTCAAGTTCGTACCTAACCAGAGCGAACGTTTCCGACTTCACCACTACCAGCACAATCCTAGTCGGCCCTCAACTCACACCATTCCACATCCAAACCAGCCTCCTCACATCAAAATCTTCCTACTTCCGTGCCGCGCTCACAGGACACTTTGCAGAATCTAGCAACAACAGCATAACACTCGACGATGTCGCAGTCGACGACTTTCAACTCCTCGTCACCTGGCTCTACGAGCAAACAGTACCGATCCCATACAAAGACCGAAAACCAGCATACTACACCCTCCTACACGTTTACGCCCTAGCCGACCGGCTAGGACTCGAAGGCGCGAGAAACGCCATCATAGACACAATAAGCGACCTTGCCGATGAAACCAACAGCGTGCTAACACCCTCCGATACACGTATCCTATACGAAGACATCCGCGATTCGGCGCCTATCCGTACCCTCGTGCTAGATCTCTTTGCTTTCAAAAAGACAGATCGATTGCTGGAATTGCATGCAGGGCTGTGGCATGCAGAGTTCCTCCGCGATCTGACGGTGCATATGAAACGACCGTGTGCGCAGGCTATGCAACGGCATAGGTTGCGCATGTGGTGTCCCATGTCCTGGCACACGACACGCGGATGTGACTACTGTGGAGTTGTACTACTGCCTAGGTGTGGAGCGGTGGCTTGTGACGATTGCTGTGTGGCGTTTTGTACGGCTTGTGTTCAGGGA